TTTTACACGCAAATAAAAGAAAATTACCTTCATTTGGATAGATCTTCCTCTTAATATCTCTAAAGAGTATACCATATCAACGAAAAATTAGATGAATTTCATAATTTTATTTAAAAAAAATCTATCTATTAAGTGAATGAGTATTTTATTTATAAATTTAAAATATATCTTATTTTTTATTAACGTAATTTGTAATATAAATTTTACTGATAATTTGGCATGTATTCAATGTATGATTGATAAGAAAATTTTCATGACATGATTATTTTTCACTTAAAAAATATTATCATTGTTATTATTTATTGCTTTTGGTAAACCATAAATGCGTTCGGATGGATGATTCTTTCATGTGAAAGTGAAGGAAGAAGAGAACGATGTTCCCATTAAGAAAAGCAAAATAATTTCTATTGGATGTAATAATTTCTTTTTGCATTTTTTTTTCTTTCCGATATTGATGAAAGTTGTTTCCTTTAGCATCTCAAGATTTTTCAATCTGGAATAAAGTATACTATCAGATATGACTTTAAGGGTGAGCATGACGTTCCAAAAGGTGCGCATATCAAATTACGATAAAACCGAATAATACAAAGATAAATGAGTAGATATTTTCCAAAAATATATTAAAAAATTGAATTTGTACATATCAAGGAAATGAATGAAAAAGGCAATACATTTGAACCAAAAAACGGCCATAAACAAGCTGGTCCTATAAAATTATACAGTTCACACCTTGTAAGGAAAAAAATAATAATAATCTAAATATGTCTATCGTTTCCTTCACAGGCCGGCAATGTGATCTCCATCATCAATTTGTTCTTAAACCATTCGTATTACTATGAAAAAAAGGGAATATACTTTAGAATTTCCCAATATTCTAATTTAAGAAAGAGCTTTGCGTGTTTTGGAAAAAGAATTGAGGTGTAAGAAATGAGGCACGTGAGTAAAGTGAATGGATCAGCTAAACTTCTGGGACTCCATGGAGCCTTGTTCGGAATATAACAGCTGGTTGGGCTTGGATTTTGAAGGAGCGCCTGTGTCTCACAAGCGTGGAAAATCAGTCTAAATCTGGAAATGAAACAAATCCTTCTGTTTTTTTCATTAATCATGAAATTACCTAAAAAATGAATTTTCCTATTTTGCTTTTGGCCGGAACGTGAGGACCCCTTACGTTAACTAATGATACCATGTCAGAGCCACGTCATATCATCCTGGACAACCTTGCACTCAAAAGAAGAGCGCCAAAGCGTACCCAGGGCCGGTTCAACTTGAGTACACTCGGGGGCCAGATGTCACCCTCGCCGGTTACTATTTTTAATTATGGATTTTCATTTTTTTTTCAGATCTATTTTCCATTTACTGTCTTTCCTATCAATGAATCCCCGTCTTGTAAGCAAAGCTAAATTAGCTATAGCGATATATACCTTTATTTATTGTCTTTAGAAAAAAGAAAAAGGCTGTACGGCTGTCATGCTGGAAGCTTTAATCATGATGTGTAAGTAAATTGAGAAAAAATGTAGACAAAGTGATGTGTCGTTGCAGGAAAATAAGGAAAAGATACATCATAACGTAGCATAAAGCTTCCTCGTGGAGAAAACAAAACCTTGGAGTAAAGAGCAGGCAAAGCTGTATATTTGACAATTGCTCCTGCTTGTATTTCAAAAGATTCTTGTGGCCGACTACTATCAAGTTATAATGTTAATTAATCGTTCCACTAATACGACATTCAGCCTGTAAAATATTATTATAAAGATTTATGGAGTCAATTGCAAATGGTTTTTAAAAACAAAAAACGAAAAACAACTGCACTCGTTAGAAGAGTCAAGGTCGTCAAAGAAAAAAAGAAAATGAGAGGGATTTTAAAAGAATAAAAATCAATAACGTGATAAAAAATAGTTAGGGGCAAGCAACAGTATTGTTATTTATTAGGGGTAAGTACCGGCCTAACATTCACATATTATCCTACATCAACGGAATTGGACCGACACCCTGATATTAGACTCTTATGGCCCACCTTGGATTGATGAATCAGGCCGCAAAGACGACTTTTGTAGTCAATTTAAACTGTCTATTATATATATATATATATATATGTATAAACTATTCTACTAATTTTATTGTTACTTTATTTTTTGTAAATCAATGACAATATGCATTATAATATTTTGATTTGAATGAAAAAAAAAAACATATTTTTGTTTCAAATGATTTCTCAGTTGTTTTTGGGTAAAGTTTGAATAAAGCAAAGAAAAGCATACATTGTGAAGTCAAGCCCATGGCATCAAATTGACGGAGAACACTGAGTAACCACCATTGTTCAAGAATTGGAACTGTATGGTTGGTTCGAGGTTCCCAATTGTGTCGCTTTGCAGACCCATAAAAGCGGATGATACCAACCTCTTCCAACCAGAGGGCTTTCCAATTATTTTAGAACATGTTGATAATTTTTTATTTTTATTCAACAAATAAAATCTTTTTTATCTTTGCAATTAAATACTGAATTTTTTTTTGTTAATTAAGTAAAATACAAAGTGAACTTTTGGAGGAAAAAGGGGATAACATTAAATATTGAATTTTTTATTTTATGATGTTGGTATGTTAGTGATAATGATTTTAAGTTGTCATAGAGATTGAACGAGAAAGAGAATGAGATCAAATTGGGAGAGATCGAGGAAAAAAAAAGGAAAAAGAAAGTAACCATTATACTTTTTTCTTATTAGCGAGAAGAAAATAAGGGAAAGGGAAAGGGAAAGGGAAAGGGAAAGAGTAAGGAGAAAATAGAAAAAAAATTAATTAAAAAAGTTTATTTAATTTAATTAGAATATTATTACTTATGTTTTTTAAAATTGTTGTTTTTTCACTTCAAAGTTGTGAGATTTTTTGAATTGTTAATAAAACAATTTTGAATAATTTATTTCTTTCTTTTAATTTTATCTTTTTGCATCATTATATGTGATTTTTTTATTTTTTAAAAATAATAAACGTTGAATGAAAAATGTTTTTTATTATTTAATTAAATTAGATTATGATATTTTTGTATTTTTCAATTATTCGAGAGTAATTATCATTTTTCACTTTTGTAAATAATTATTGACTAATGGTAATGAATAGTTGAAGCTGTTAATAATGCATTTTGAAATAAGATGTGGTTAAAGTGTACTTCAGAGGAGTATTGAAGGGGCTTTTGTTTTTGACCCCAAGTTTTGTCATAATCGTTAGATTGATTTAAACTCAACTAAGAATTAATAATTTATCTAAATTCTACTTCCAAATTTAGGCCTTTTAATCTTATGGATAATGAATTAATTTAACATGTTAGAAATTCTTTATTATAAATTTATAATAATTTATAAATTAAATTAGGAATTCATAATTTTAGTCATTATTATAGCATTCTCGTAAGGTTTCAATTTCAACTTCAAAATTAATGGGAATCAGCAAAATACTAAATCTAAGATTAAGGGCAAGTACGGTTCGATTTTGTTGATTATCGGTTTGGTTTTATTTAAAATCAATAAAAAAAATTCACCTTACGAATAGCTCGAACTAAACTGTGTAAGAGGTTGATTTTGATTAGTTTTATCCGGCTTTGAGTCTTAGGTCAATATTTGAGGTGGACTGATTTGGGTTATTTTAAGTTAACTTGAGCTAATTTAGGTTGACTTGGATTGATTTGGGTTTTTTTTTGTTCAACCTTTTGTAAATGGCCCTTTTTTTATTTGACTTGGGCTTTTTTATATGACCCATTGTATATAGTTATTTTAGATCTATTTATATATAATCTTTCGAACCTTTTTATTTCTTTGAAATAGTAAATAATATTAATCTTTATGCAATAAATAACCCTAATCCCTTGAAATTATTTTTAGTTGCACTAATATTATTTTTTACAAGCAAAAAATAACATATGATACACATAATTTTTGACATATTTTCTTTTTAGCATGAATTTTAATCAAAAAAATAATATTCATAATCTCTCAAACCAAGCTTTCTCTCTTGTTATTTTCAGAAAACCATTTACATATTTTGTTCACATATCCTCTCTCTCTCTCTCTCTCTGACATAATTTCTTATTATTTTCACATATTTTCTCTCTTGCTATAGTTCTCTATTTTCCAAAAAAAAAGGGTTGGAGGGTCAATTTAAGGGGAAAAGTCTCCCAACGACTGAGCCAATCGAGGCTGATCGTTCCAACTGACGGTTGCAAACAATTGCAACAGCAACTATCAATTGTAATTATCGATTACAAGAATTGACGGTTGCAATCAGTTCCTCAGTTGCAACCGATCGCTACATAGGACTATCTAAGATGGTAAGACTATGACCAAAACTCTAATTCAAATGCTAAATAGGGTGATATTGAAATTTTAATACAAATATTCATTGATAATAAAAAGAAGGAATAATGTTTTAAAACTTTTAGAATTATTTTAATTTTTTATTTTGTTTAAAGCAAAATATATTTTGAAGACTAAAGATGGACTAATTGTTTTAGTCAAAACATTACTTGTTATTTTATATTCAAGTAATGTTGATTGAAGAGTAAAAAATATCAAATGATCATATTATCATGTCATATAAACTTGTCATGTTATTATTCGTTACAATAAGTAAGCATACCACATCAATATCATATGATATTATGATAAATAGATACAAACTTATTTAACCAAAAATAAAAATATTACAAGTTTTATTCAAAAACTTATTTAGATATCATGCCTAAAAAGAATTACTACAATTTTTTTTTTTTACAAAATTGGTTTAATTTCCATTTTGATTGTTCTATGTTTCATTACTTCTAAAGTAGCTTTCTTTCTTATCCCTTGGAAAGAATCATTAATATTTGTAAGTGGATCCTTCCTCTGATATATATTCGCTATTCTGAATAATTTTGATATTTTGTGCCGCTCATTAGGGGTTAATTTCGGGGCAGTAATTCACTCTCAACTGCCCCGTTGGTTTGTCAGATTTCGAGGTCTAAATAATGGTTACATAAATAATTCTAAAACTCTTTTTATTCTGGACATGATTGGTACTTGATAAGTTACAATTTTAATTCTGCGCCAGATTTGTCAAACAATCACTTCATAATGAAATATAGTAATTATAGCATGAAGTTCATGGCACTGTTACAGGATTTCATATACAATATAGTAATTATAGAAATTAAACATCGTTTTTGATCGAAGAACTGTATCCGGTTTGGTCATCATAGTACTTTGACCACAGCATCACACCTCCATACTTGGCAGAACCTTTGATTGCAGGCAGCACTTTGGAGGTGAGATCAGCGACAGGAATGAAGCCGCTTCCAGCTGCAGCAGGGGCTGCAGGAAGTCCTAACAAAATTTTGGTTGCAGGAATGTCTGTACTCCATTGTTTCCATGCATCTTGTAGATTTCCAATATTTCCAGATGAATATTGGCATGGTGGGTTGTTGTAGAATTGAACCCAAACATAGTCAAATAGACCCGTTTTCAGGGCACCCCCGACCCAAGCATCAGGGAAAGGGCATTGAGGAGCTGCAGTTAAGTACACTTTCTTACCAAGTTTGCTGTAACCTGAAAGGTACCTTGCAAGGTCATCCCAGTGTTGGTTTGTTCCTCCTTCAATATCAAAGTCAATTCCATCCAGAATGGCATCACCTAGTGGACGAGAAGTGGATTTTCCCCCTAAGAAGTTGTTCCAAAGATAAGTAGCGACCTGCCTAGCATCTTCGTCTGAGGAAAGGTAGTAGCTTCCTGCTCCTCCTCCAATTGAAAGGATTACCTTAATTCCTTTTTCTTGGCAAGATTTGATGTCAGAACTCAAACCAGTGCACCCATTGCTGTAGGGATCGCAATGACCGGCAAGGTTGATCATGGGAGTCTGACCATTGCCAAATGTTGCAAGAAAAGCTATGTTCACAAAGTCATAGTTACCAGTGGCACAAGTCTCCGCCAAGGTACCCTCATTTCCGTTCTGACCCCAGTAAATAGCAATTCCACCAGCATCAACACTAACAATGAGGAGAAGAACCATTGAGCAGAAAAAAGCTAGAGGTCTTGCTGGCTTTGATGCCATCTTGATCTGGTGATCCTACACTAGTTTCTAAGAATGATAACTTTTTCTTTGATGCTTGAGGTGTTTGCAGAAACTGATCTTATATATAGGAGAAAACAACCTTCCTCGATTATGGCTGTGTTCTGTGTTGTTGTAGAAGATCAATCACCAGGTCCCCAACGGATCGACTGCATATGGTTGTGGATTAACGCAGACGGCTGGTTCCAAAATAAAATGAATTTCCACGTCTTAGCATGTCTGATCACCAGCATGTCTACTGTTTTGGCGTCTTCTATTGTCTACTTTGTTTGATTTGCTTGTATATGGTGACCATCAAATGTGACTCACCATTTGGAAAGACGACAAATGTTAGAGGCAGGGAAGGTTACATTGTCCAAATCAAAATTATAGCCTTTCATTAGCAGTTAAAGTTTTGGTCTTTAGCCCTCCATGTCTTCCATGGGCAACCTATACTTCAGTTCAGGTTGTAATTATAGCTTTAGCGCAAAGCAATCTTGACCTATAAAATGGCTTTCTGCAATGTAAACCGAAGACCCCGACGACTTGGCTTGGCAACTTAAAATCGTTCAGGCCGTATGAGTTCGAAATAGAAAACTAGCTTTCACATTAGCCAACAGATAAAGTCGCATATGAATTTCAATGTATGCAGAAGATTCCTCTTAGAAGTTTCTTACAGAAATGGACAAAACTATTGCCTACTATGTTGACTGTCGAAAAGAAACTTCTGGCTTGAAAGCAAAAACTTTGAATTCTAGGCGGAAATGGGAGATCTGAGAGCATGCCCTGCCCTGTTATTCACTGATTCCGGTCCCCTGTTCTGAAACCATTTCCGACTAACTTGCATTAGATTTGGGATTTTACACCAAGACAAACTCATGTTTGCAACGGGTTTTAAACCAACCATGTAGGCTGTCTTTGGACATCTTAGCTCGGGAAGTCATTCATAAGTTGTCTAATTTAACGACCAAAATTGCCCATGAAAATGGCCTTTGAACAATTTTAATTTTTATGTTCGAGATAGTTGCTTGTAGTTCCATCTCAATTTAGGCGAATGGCTTTGATAAAACCCACATTAAGGGCCTAATATAATAACTGTAATTGAAGAGTTAGCTTGAAAATTTTCTGAAGTATCAGAAGAAAGTTCAAAATTGCAAACTTAAGTTGGATTCATGACGCATTGGAAAAATTACATCACCAAATTTGTAATTATAGGAAAGGATGTTTTATGAATGGCAAGGTGCTCCTAAAGACGTCTATAGGAGAAGACTAGAAGATTTAGATGAATGTAATTAATGGCTATAAGCAAAAACACTCAAAGTTTTCTGTTGTTTCCTTCTTGTTTGAAAATATTGACATATCCCATCACCTACTGGAGACAGTTATTGCATAGTGTGACCATAAGGTTTCTTATCCCGTCATCTATTGAAGAAAGTCCACGAGACTCAAATGTTGAGATTGTGGCCCGAGGAGGGAATTTGGAGCAAAAGCCCAGCGGATTAGTCTGTTAAACAGGAATATATAAAATTGAAGAGAGGCTATATAATTGAAACTACATTCACGAAAAGTAGAAGATATATTTATAAATAGAGATAGATAAACATATGAGAGTGATTATATAGATTTCAGACATGGCTCTTGATGGAAGAGCTGTATCCACTTTGGTCATCATAATACTTGGACCACAGCATAACTCCGCCATACTTGGAGGAACTCTTTATAGCTGGGAGAACCTTCGATGTGAGATCATTTACTGGAATGAAACCGCTCCCTGCTGCGTCAGGAGATGCAGGTAGTCCCAGGAAAATCTTGTTGGCTGGGATATCTGAGGTCCACTGTTTCCATGCATCTTCAAGGTTGGCAATATCGCCAGATGTATATTGGCAAGGAGGGTTGTTATAGAATTGAACCCAAACATAATCAAAGAGACCGGTCTTGAGAGCATTCCCAACCCAAGCATCAGGATATGGGCACTGAGGAGCTGCGGTTAAGTATACTTTCTTGCCTTTCTTGCTATACCCTGAAAGGTACCTTGTAAGATCGTCCCAGTGTTCGCCTGTTCCTCCCTCAATATCAAAGTCAATTCCATCAAGAACAGCTGGTCCAAGTGGTCGAGACGAAGACGTCCCCCCCAAGAAATTATTCCAAAGATATGTTGCTACTTGCCTAGCATCGTCAGAGGAAGCAAGGGAGTAGCTACCAGCACCTCCACCCAAAGACAGAATCACTTTAACCCCTTTGGCTTGACATGATTTAATGTCAGAGCTTAAGCCAGTGCAGCCATTGCTATAGGGATCACAATGACCAGCGAGGTTTATCATGGGAGTCCGGCCATTACCAAATGTTGCCAGAAAGGCTATATTGACATATTCATACTTCCCAGTGGCACAAGTCTCTGCTAGGGTACCTTCGTTACCATTCTGACCCCAGTAGATGGAAATTCCACCAGCATTTGAACCTTTTGCTGAAATCAAAAAAATCAAGCAGAAGAAAGACACTGATATTTTCAGCTTGAATGCCATTGTCAGGGTGGTGAAGGTTGGAAAACTTTTACAAATCTATTAGAGAGTTAGCTGTTTATGTGCTGAACTCCAGCGGTAGAGCTCCACATTTATAGCAGGAAGATGCTGCTCGTACTTTGACAATTATTCTGAGATCTAGCAGATAAGAGCGTACCTTGGTGGTACTTCGTCTCAATATTTTAATGACTACGGCAGACTAAAGGCAAGCAACCCATAAGTATAATGGTAATTCCTAGGACGTGTTTTGTCGGACATTAATTCCTATGACATTCACCATGTCCCAAAGTTACATGTCTAATTCTGGAAATTCTGTTAATCCTCTCTTCGGCATCTTCAACCTAGTAATGGACATTAGCTTAGCGGTCAACGACTACGGTTTACCTACCGTGGAGAATGGACTAACTTAACTTTATGCTTCTTGTACCTGTGGCTGTTTGAACAATAAAGAATTATCATGATATTTCAAAATTTTCTTTTTCATGACCAAATAGTTTTGTTTATCACCCCAAAAAGCATCTAAAAACAGAAGTTTCCATATGCTTATAAAATAAAACTTGATTGTAATCTTATCCAGGCAAACTTGTGCAGATTAAATTTGTTGCAAACTGATAACTGATGCTTGAATTCTTAGAGCTGATAGTAATTCGCCGCCATCCCTTGTTTAAAACTGTGTATGCCCAGCAAGAAACCCCCCACGCTCATGGCATGATAGGGGAATGATTTGTTCCTGTGACAAAATTACCAAAGCTCAGCTTTGGCGTACTCCAGGGCCCTTGATACTCTTTCCCTTTTACAATTGTGTTCGAGTTGACTCGGCCTCTTTTAAACCTTAAACGATATTGTTATTGGTTGCCATAACTATATGAATGAATGAAATCACTTGTCAAGTCCGACCATCTCAGGTCAAGCAAAGATAAAATCATATCACGAATATCAGCAAGGATTTTCTAAATGATATTCAATATACTGTTAATTGTTTAAATTAATTTATGATAGTGATCACCATTAAAATCAAAATTGAGGCTAAAACGTCAAATCTGCATATATTTCAAACTTAGACTAGAACATGAATAATGATTAAATAAGAAAATTTAAATAATTTTTTTATAAGATAAATTTATTAATGAAGTCTTTTAAAAAGATAACAAACTAAACAGCTTTCAAAAGTAGTAAAAGAATCCTCACATACGAGGATTGACAAGCATCAGAAGTAGTCTGATGTGCTAACAGGAAAAGTGAAACATTAGTGAATTTTAAAATTGCCCTACACAGCAAGGAAAATCCAATTGATAAGTTCAATAAAAAACAAACCCTGCTAAGATAATGTTGATTTAAATTTTAGACACGGCTCTTGATGGAAGAACTATAACCAGTTTGATCATCATGAAACTTGGACCACAGCATAACGCCCCCATACTTAGGAGAATCCCTAATGGCAGGAAGAACTTTGGAAGTGAGATCAGCCACAGGAATGAAGCCACTTCCAGCAGCTCCAGGAGATGCAGGCAGCCCTAGGAAAATCTTTGAAGCAGGGATATCTGATAACCATTGCTTCCATGCATCTTCAAAACTGCTAATATCACTAGAGGAGTACTGGCAAGAAGGGTTGTTATAGAATTGGATCCATACATAATCAAAAAGACCTGTCTTAAGGGCACTTCCTAGAAATGCATCAGGAAAAGGGCATTGAGGAGCTGCAGTTAAGTACAATTTTTTGCTGCTTTGCTTACTATACCCTTTAAGGTACCTCGCAAGATCATCCCAGTGTTGCTTTGTTCCCAGCTCAATGTCAAAGTCAATTCCATCAAGAACAGCTGGTCCTAGCGGACGAGTCGATGAGCCTCCCCCCAAGAAGTTATTCCAAAGGTATGTTGCCACTTCCCTGGCATCATCGGATGAGGCAAGAGAGTAGAAGCCAGCACCACCACCAATGGAAAGCATAACTTTGATGCCCTTGGCTTGGCATAATTTTATGTCAGAGCTTAAACCAGTGCAGCCATTACTAGATGGATCACAATGACCACCGAGGTCTAGCATGGGTCTGCGACCATTGCCGAACTTAGGCAGGAAAGCAACGTTCACAAAATCATATTTTCCAGTGGCGCAAGTCTCTGCCAGGGTGCCTTCCTCATCATACTGGCCCCAGTAGATAGCAATTTCACCAGCATTGCAGCATGTTGCTAGCATTAGTAGCAGAAAAGAAATCAAGAAAAACAAGACTGTTGCTTGAAATGCCATCATAACAAGCGTGATAACTCTACACTCACTTTGTTTTACTGCAGTGCCAAGCCATATTAGAGGAGCATGGCTTTTATAAAAGAAAGATGTCCCCACAGCTACTTATATAAAATACACATTTTCATGCGTATGCCCATCATGTTTTGCCTTTTCCTTCAATTTTTCTCGTGTTATCATGCATGAACAATTCAAATAAGGAGTGATGGGGTCTGCAAAGACGAGTCCTTGATGCAAAACACCATTTCTTTTGAAAGCTGGCTTATCTCTACCATTTGTTGTCTGCCTCCATGGTGTCTGATTTGCTTATACTCTTCGCAGAAACTGTCAACGGGAGTATTTTAGATAAAAAATGACCAAGTCTTCGAACTGTAAAATTCATCCAGACATAAATAAGATTTTTTTTTACTCAGTGGAGAATCAATTTGTCTTGTTTGCTGAGTTTCATACTGACCAACCGATCAACTGCCGATCCTTGACCACTTTTCATAATTAGGAATCTTATGTGCAGCTAAAGCATTGCCAAGCAAGGGCCTAGGAGCATCAGGAGCATTGAACAATTAAAACTACACATCTCAAACTTGTTTTTTTTTTTCTCTTATCCAAAATAAGTATTTATTTATATAAACGTTAGAGTGAGTAGATGTCATAAGACTATCCAGCATAAAGAACGCCTGACTTTCAATTGTTGCACAAGGCATACCAACTAGATACAGTAAACTCCTTGACACAATAAACAATAAGCTCCCAACTCTTGAACAGGTCAAGACGAATACAAGCCCTAGAAACTTAGTGGGTAACACCTGATAAATAGGATGCTTTTGTTCATAGAAAATTGCAACTTCTATTGCTGCATGTATCCAAATGACTGTTCAATTAGTAATTCTTTAAGTTCATTTTTAGCTTAAAATTGGCCAATAATTCAATTATTAAACTCTTTAAAATTTTTGTATTCCGAATTTCATAAAAATTACATATTTATGATAAAATTACATTATTAGAAATGTGTTATATCAAAAATAATTAATAGATTTTCACTTATGAAATTTCTAAAAATATTATCAACGTTCTAAATATCAAACACCACCTTAAATTTTTTTTTTTGATCTCTATGCTTGATGAGGTATTTCAAAAATGTTTGAATTTATAATAAAAAAAAAGCCTAAACCCAAGAAGTTGAGGAGGGCCAAGGAGCCCAAATTGAGGCCATGAATGAGCCACTAATCATCACAAGTTCATAAATTGGCCTACTATCCAACATCTTCACAATCACCATAGGCTCAAAAAGGATTTGAGCACGATGATATACCTGTTAAATTACATTTAAATATTATGTGTCATTTGAAAAACAATAAATAAAAACAAAATCAGATGATTGAAATTTTTCTGTTAAAAAGTAAGATAAATTAATAAAAATGCCTAACACTTTTCCCCTTTTACTTTTTTCTCCTTTTAATGAAATTATTATTGATTTAGAGAGAATTAAAAAAAAAAAAACCAACAACAAACACCTTTCCTAAGATGAGAAATAAGGAAGCAACGAATTCCACTTTATGGTAGTTGAGTGAGATGGGCCATTAGAGATCCCCTAGTCTTTTTCATATCAAATCCCATCCATTCCCATTCCACCATGCAATGATAGCAGTGAGTAAAGGATTAAGTTGATTAAATCGACTAGAAAATTTTATTAATCTAATTTAGTGCACTAATATAAGTGAATCGATTAATTTTTTAGTCAATTTTAATTGATTAATTCGGTTTTAAACAATTATATCCTTTTACATAAATTTTTAATTTTTTAAAATTTAATTAATAGTTTATTTTAAAAAGTTATTGATATTATATCTTTTTTATGATTAATATATTCTTATTTTGAGAAAAATTAAAAAATTTACTAATAATTAGTAAAAATAATAATGCTCTCTTTGTTGCAAATTAAATAACCACACTTGACAATATAAAAAATATATAATTTTGGTATTAGCGTTTTTTATATTTTTTATGAAAATTTTTTTAATATCCATATAATATCATAACTAGTACAATTTTTAATGTCAAAAAATAAAAACTAGCAATTATTAAAAATTAATATGAAAACATTAAAAAAGTTTGAAAGATCGATGTTAGTCATATAATTCAAACTCAAACTTAAATAACCATATAATGTCATAACTTAGCAACAAATTAATATTAACTATCTCAAGCACATTAAATAAGTGCATCATTTACACTAATGCTGGAATCTTATCATTATTTTTTTTATTTTTTCAAAATCAATCGCATACGTGAAACAAGCATTAATTGATTGAGTCAAAATAAGTTAAAACAATAAAATCATACTAACATTTGTGAATATTGACGTTAATTGATCATGTCAAAATAGTAAAATCATAACAACGTATGTGAAATTAATATTAATTAATCGACTTAACGTAGGTTAAAATAGTAAATCATACACAATCCCCACATAATCTTCATTCCTAATATTAAATGATCGTTACATCAAGCCTTGAGATACAAAGTCAGTCATGACTACCCTCACTTTCCTCTTAAATCTTAGTCAATTTTTAAGAGTAAGCAATTGATTGGTTCGGTTGATTTAATTCATCACAATTAAAGATTAAAAGGACAAAACATTTATAAAAAATCGACTACACCAAAAATCGAATCAACCAAATTATGTGACCTGTTTCCTTTTCTAGCTACACCTTGCACCCTTAGAAATACACAAACCATCCTATGGATAAATAATTTGATAAAGTTAT